AGAAACTGTGGGCCTACTAAGTGCATTCGTTGTATTCTTGTTCTTGAAATAGCATCAGACTCGCAGACAGTATGATTACCAGTCACTTATGTGTATGAGAAAGCTTGGTTTGGGAATTAGGGTGGGTCATTTAAAGAGAGAAATCTAGGCTCTTCTCTTTGTTTCTGGGCTATTCCAAGGCATATCTTCGCCATTATGGACTGGCTTTGTCAAATGTGATGAACAGACCAGCTTTATAACAGCTTTGCTGCTTGCAAGCTGGGTTTTACCCTTCTGAGCCTCAGCTTCCCCATTAAATAATGTGACACCTGGCATCCATGCTGTACATTTGCAAAGATATATATGAAAGTGAACTATGAAACACACTGGAAATATGAGATGTATTAAGATATGGGGGGTATGCTACCAAAGACAGGAGTTGGAATGAATAGATGGATGATTTCTGTAAGTGATGGGAAATCTTGTTTGTGCTTTTGCCCAGAGACATGAAACAGATTGTACAAACATCTTCTAAGCAGTAACTTTTGACTCTAGTGAAAGGCATTGTTGGAGGGATGTGCTTCTAACATGAATCTCTTTGAAAGCTTAGATTGGAGAGGCAGATTCTCTCCTTTGATAAACCAATGGCTGGAGAAGTGATTTTAGTAACCCTTTCTTGAATGGTGGGAAATCACAGCTGCTTCTCTGGTGGAAAGCAGAAGTGTGTTTGAGTTTGGGGAAGAAGTGGGGGATAACTGAACTTTTTGATATTTTTTTAAATAGAAGGAATAAAAATATGTGTTTTTAAAATATATTCTTTTCTAAAGTCATTATTATGCCTTGAGTACTTTCTTTGGGACTAAGCCTGTGCCTTGTAATGAGAAAGACACAAAGGTAATATGTAATGAAGTCCCCAGTCATGGGGGGTTTCCTTCTAATTAATGGCAGACAATTCTACAAGACTGTCTGTGATTAAAAACCCAAACTACACTGGAGAGGGAAATTGTCATGCGATGTTAGAGAAGAAAGAGATCCACGCAGGTAATAGGGAACTAGTAGCCATTTGTTGAACTGAATTGTGGATGTTGAGATTTGGATTGTTACTAAGTCAAGACAAGCTCTTGTTCTAGGCAAGAACAAACCGTGGACTGATTTCAGAATTGAGAGGAGAACATATGAATCTTCACTGGAGAGTAGGTTAGAATTTTGCAGATAGTGGAGACAAAGATGGATAATTATGGGCTGGGACAATTTTGGGGGTACTTTCAGTTAGGCCTAGAGATCTAGGTGTGTGTGTGTGTGTGTGTGTGTGTGTGTGTGTGTGTGTGTGTGTGTGTGTGTGTGTGTGTGTGTGGTGTGTTTTCAGCAGTCCTTGGTAGGTGTTCGAGGTTGGAGCTTCCAATGCAGGTCCTGCCTTTGAGAGTTTCTGCTTACTTCCTAATGACCAGAACCAGGAAGAGGTGAAACTTGCTCATTACACAATGCATCATGACTCAGTGACCTCACTACTTCCTGTTTTCATTTGAGAAGGGGGTCAGTGGAAGGGAACCTTTCAGCATAAGGCCATGAATAGGGACTAGGAGATGTCAAGGGTGTGAGGTCTACCAAACTAGCAGGCAGAGCATCTGCATAAACCAGCAGACCAGTGAAGGAGTTGAACACCAGCGGAATAGCAGCAGTGGCCCAGTGACCCATGAACAGGTCTAGAAATTGGAAATAACTCCTGCTTCTGAATTGCACGTGATGTCTCCTAACCTATGCCACCAGCCAATCCTGGCTGTGAATTCATAGTCTAGTCCATAAGCTCAATAGTGAAATAAATTCCAACATACTTTGTCCTGGCTTCTGTGCCAGGAGTGCTGGAGAGCACTACTTGGATGACTCTCTTTATCAAGAAGAGGCCACTGGAAAAGAGGTGGCTGGACATGTGCTCCTCCCTGCTCACTGATAGGCTGACCATGATATAGCCAAGCTGCAGGTGCACGGTGCACCACAGGCTCAGTGAAGAGCTGGGAAGAGCTGCCACTGGCGATGACAGGGACGCCTTTCTTCCCTGTGGGATATACTGATGGATTGAGTGACTATCTATTCATCAGTGTGGATGATCACTCATCAGGCCTGCAGAGATGGGAGCCTTATGAGTTTCTTGGATTGTCAAGTTTGTAGCTGGAGCTGAAGGGGGTTCATTTTTCCTGGAGAGATCCCTCATTAGTAGAGTGAGGGTAAGAAGTAAATCTACTTAAAAAAAAAAAAAAAAACTTCCATGAAATCTAATTTACATACTATAAGAGCCACCCATTTAAAACATATAATTTAATGATTTTTAGTAAATTTACAGAGTTGTGTAAATATCACCACAACCCAGTTTTAGGATGTTTTCATCTCCCCAAGAAGCTCCTTAGGGCCTTTTGTGGTCAACACCATTCCCCTCCTACAGTCCCAGGCAACCAGTAATCTCCTATATTGCCTTTGATAGATTTGCCTAATTCTGGATGTTTTGAATAAATGGGATCATAAACTATGTGGTCTTTTGCATCTGGCTTCTTTCCTTTAGTATAATGTTTTGAGGTTCATTCGTATTGTAGTATGTTTCTGTATTCTGTTTCTTTTCATTGCTGCATAGTATTCCATTGCATGGGTATACCGTATTTCATGTATCCTTTGATCAGTTAATAAATTATTTCCATTTTTTTTGGCTGTTGTGAATAATGCTACTGTAGTGGAATTCAGTGGCTGCTGTGACAAATCATACACTTGATGTCTTCCAACAGTGGAGGTTTATTCTTCCACAGTTCTGGAGACAAGAATTAGGAAGTCAAGGTGCAAACAGGGCTGTGCTCCCTCTGGAAGCCCCTGGGGAGATTCCATTCCTTGCTTCTTCCAGCTCCTGGTGGATACTGGCCTTATTTCACTTGAGGTCACATCAGTTTAATCCTAGCCTCCATCTGCCTATCACCTTCTCTCTGGTGTGTCTCTCAGCTTTCTCTGTTTCTCTCTTGTAAAGATGTATGATTGCATTTAAGGCCCACCTTGATAATTCAAGGAAGGCCACACCTCTCAAAATCCTTAACTTATCATTGGTCATTAGAGAAATGCAAATCAAAGCCGCAATGACATACCATCTCACAACAGATAGAATGGCAATCATTAAAAAGTCAGGAAATAATAGATGCTGGAGAGGATGTGGAGAAATAGCAATGCTTTTACACTGTTGGTGGGAGTGTAAATTAGTTCAACCATTGTGGAAGACAGTGTGGCGATTCCTCAAGGATCTAGAATCAGAAATACCATTTGACCCAGTAATCACATTACTGGGTATATACCCAAAGGATTATAAATCATTTTATAAAGACACATGCACATGTATGTTTATTGCAGCACTGTTCATAATAGCAAAGACTTGGAACCAACCCAAATGCCCATCAATGATAGACTGGATAAAGAAAATGTGGCACATGTACATCATGGAATACTATGCAGCCATAAAAAAGGATGAGTTCATGACATTTGCAGGGATAAGGATGAAGCTGGAAAATATCATTCTCAGCAAAGTAACACAAGAACAGAAAACCAAACACCACAAGTTCTCACTCATAAATGGGAGTTGAACAATGTGAAGGCATGGACACAGGGAAGGGAACATTACACACTGACCTATCGTGGGGAGAGAGAGCATTTCTCCTCATGTAGATGACGGCGTGATGGGTGCAGCAAATCACCATAGCACATGTATACCTGTGTAACAAACCTGTACATTCTCTACATGTATCCCAGAACTTAAAGTATTAAAAAAAGTAAATCCTTAACTTAATCAACTCTTTTGCCTTACAGGTAACATACACAGGTTCCAGGGATTTGATGTAAATTTCTTTTGGCGGGGAAAACTTTTCAGCCCACCACCATAGCTCTGAACATTCACATAAGATTCTTATGTAAACATATAGCTTCATTTTTCTTTGTAGATACCTAGGAATGGAATTGCTAGGACCTATGGTAAATTTATGTTTAACTTTTTGAGAAGTTGCCCCACTGTTTACAGGAGGAGCTGTATCATTTTATATTCCCACCAGCAAGGCAGGAGAGTTCTAGTTTCTCTACATTCTTACATTCTTGTCAATTGTTTGCCTTTTTTAAAAAAAATCATAGCCATTCTAGTATGTGTGGAGTGGTATCTCACTATGGTTTTAATTTGTATTTCCCCATGATTAATCGTGTTGAACATCTCTTCATGTGCCTGCTAGCCATTCATACATAATTTTTGGCAAAATGTCTATTCAAAGCTCTCGCCTGTCTTAAAATTGGGTTGTCTTCTTTTTTAGAGTTATGAGTTAGTCTCTTGTTTTGCACAACCTGGCCCAGCCATTGCCAGCCCTAAGGACTGTGGTGGCTGAGGTCACCTTGATTAGGAAGTGCCATGGTAACCCAGTTCCACAGGGTACCTTGGGCTGGGGCCAGGCACCATGGTTGCACCATGCCCTGTGTCAGTTTGTCACTGGAGGGTGGATGGGCCTCACAGGTGGCCTCTTGCCATCAGATACTGTGTCATGGAAGCCAGGACATGGCTTGTGTTTGTCCTAGAGATCATCAGTTCAGTGGTCTTGCAGGCTGGCATTATCTGATGAACAAGGTTCCTGACCAACAGAATCCCACAATGTATTCTCATTGTAGCCTGATTCTTTCCTAACACTTACCACAATTTTAACTAAATAGTTATTTCTGTGATTATGTATGTGGTGTCTTTCTTCCTTCTACTAGACTGTTAAGTTCCCTCGGGACAGGGGCCATGTCTGTGTGATTTGCCCCTCTATCACCAGTCTCCAACACAGATCATGATACGTAGCAGGCAACTGATGGACATTTGTTGGATGGAGGAAACGAGTGTCCATTCTCTGCTTCACAATGGATGATTCACATGAAATTATTAAATAGAGAGTTGTTTGTTGACCGAGTTGTTCACGAATCCCTGCATGTGCCTGTAGTGACGTGCATTCTAATTTCCCTTTTTTATTTCTCATTTCCAGCGATCTACAACTACAATGCTTCTCAAGATGTGGAGCTCTCCTTGCAGATCGGTGACACAGTTCACATCCTGGAGATGTACGAGGGTAAGTCTGGCTGGCCTTCTGCCAGACAAGGGCAAGGGAAAAACAGTGTAAGTTACTTATTAAAAAGGCACTTAGAACAGACATCAACATGCTTTACTTCCTGAAGCAGAGCTGGTGAAAATTCGGGAAGTACTTGGGTGACACAATTTTGAACAGAGTATGATTTCAAAACAGCCGGCTGAATACATGAGCACAGACACCAGGGTAAAAGCTCATGCATATGTGAAGGGCATTGGTGTGGCCCGGCCACTTGGGCACAACAGAAGGATCAGCAATGGAGCTGGCTCACTAGGAGACACTTGGGACATTGGCCTGGCAGTAGCTCAAAGGAAGCACTGCTGATTAAGGGTCCCTTTCTATTCAGCACTAAATGTTCCCAGGTTGGGGGAGAAAGTCTTTCTGGTGTTGCTGAGATTCTTTTAGAAAAATTAGGTCAGGACTGCAGCAGGTCCAGAAAGCCTGCTTGTATATTTCCTTCAACTAGGTCAGGCGAGGGTGGTGGTTCCGTTAACCTGTTAGTGGGCTGCAGGGTCGTACTCAGGACTGCCTGTTTGCCTGCAAAGCACCAGTCATGTCTGTACCTACTCCACCGCTGGCTTCTAACTTCACCTTGGGTGTCTCTAAAACCTAGGAGAAGGCTTCCTCCATGAATCCACATTTTTAATCCAAACCTCCAGAGCATGACAAAAGCATAGTCAGACCACTGAAATTAAGACCAAACCAAGAACAACCTTTAGGGTCCAGTTATTCTCCCTGAAGGTTAGGGTACAAATGAGGTGGAAGTTAGGCAGATTTGACAGGGGCCGTGCATTTTCCGGGTCTAGCCCCCATGTAAATCCTTGTGGTGGTGAAATGGCAGAGATGGTCCTCTAGAGCCCCATGCAAGTTCCTAGGGCAGGACAGGAGAACACAGGATGAGAAAGAGGAGACAGGAAGGGAGGAGGAAAGAAAGCAGGATTTGTCCATAGAACAGCTAAATTATCTGCCTGGTTGCACGGAAGACTCTGTTATTCCTGCCACCTCCCTTTAGTTTTTGGCAGAGGGCTGGGGTTTCACATTATCCTTTTCCCTTCCACACAACTCGATGTAATCTTGTTGCTCCCAGGGGCAGAGAGAAGACAGACAGGGCTGTGTGAACTCTTCCCTTTCCAGTCTCTCTCTACTGCTCATCATCTCAGGCCCGCCAAGCATGAATTCAGAGTCTCCAAGACACTAGGGACAGTGTCGCCTTATCTTTTCCAGATTCCTGTGATTATGGAAACTACAGCTCTTCCAGTCTTACCAGCTCATACTTCTTTTGTCAGGAGGCCAGGTTAATTCACTCCGTCTAGCCTCAATGGATGTACATTTTCCTATTGTGCAGATAAAAAGTATATGTTCAGTTTTTCTAACTCTTCCATGTGGGCTTGGAAAGAATGTATATTTAAGGATCATTGAGTGCAAAAAGTTCTTTTCTTTTTTTCTTTTTGAACTGGAGTCTCACTCTGTCGCCCAGGCCGGAATGCAGTGGTGCAATCTCAGCTCACTGCAATCTCCACCTCCCAGGTTCAAGCAATTCTCATGCCTCAGCCTCCTGAGTAGCTGGGATTATAGGCATGCGTCAGCACACCTGGCTAATTTTTGTATTTTTAGTAGAGATGGGGTTTCACCATGTTGGCCAGGCTGGTCTTAAACTCCGAGCTCAGGTGATATCCCCATCTCGGCCTCCCGAAGTGCTGGGATTATAGGCCTGAGCCACCGCACCTGGCCGCAAAGTTCTGTATATGACAATTAGGTTCTAATTTTGGCGTCATTTTTCGGGTTTGCTCTATGCTAACTTGTTTTCCTGCTTTTTCTGTTACTGATAGAACTGTGTTAAATCTTCCACCATGATTGTAGTTTGTGTCTGTTTACGGTGATGTCAGCTGTTGGCTTTATGTATTCTCACACTTGTTTTTAGGTGCCTGCTATTTTAGAATCATTGTGTTAAGCCGTTGTAACTTTTAATTCCTGTTTATTGAACCTTTTATCATTGTCTTCATCTGTAGCAATATGCTATGTTTTACTCTCTGTTGTGTAAAATTGCAGCCAACTCACTGGCAAGTCCCAGGGCTTCAATTTGTGCCCTCCTGGCGCCACAAGACCATCTGAAATGCTGCTCAGCTTCTCAGCTACTCAGGAATCCTTTCTCTTTCTTTTGGAGATGGAGTCTCGCTGTGTTTCCCAGGCTGGAGTGCAATAGCACAATCTCAGCTGACTGCCACCTCCGCCTCCTGGGTTCAAGTGTTTCCCCTGCGTCAGCCTCCCAAGTAGCTGGGATTATAGGCGACTGCCACCACACTTGGCTAATTTTTGTATTTTTAGTAGAGATGGGGTTTCATCATGTTGGCCAAGCTGGTCGCAAACTCCTGACCTGAGGTGATCTGCCTGCCTCGGCCTCCCAGAGTGCTGGGATTACAGGCATGAGCCACCACGCCCAGCCAGGAATCCTTTCTTAAATCAGCAGATGGATGTCCCAAGGGGAAAGCAGCCCCAGATGCTGGGCTGGTCTTTTTAGGTTTTGGTCTTTTGCAGATTTTGACCTGGTCATTCCTTCACTGCTGTGTTAGTTCTTGTGTTTGTGTGCATGGCGGGGTTGGAGGAGGGCGGTGGATGTATTTGTGTGTATTGTTTTGTCAGACTTTTGTAATTGTCCTACAGAGTTTGGGAGGAAAGAATGGAGAGTTGGTCTGAAATAAAGTAGACAATGTGTATTGTTTTTTGTTTTTTTCCTTTGAGACAGGGTCTTGCTCTGTCACCCAGGCTTGAGTACAGTGGTGTGATCGTAACTCACTGCAGCCTTGAACTGCTGGGTTCAAGCTATCCTCCTGCCTCAGCCTCCCAAGTAGCTGTGATTATAGGCACGTGCCACCATGCCTAGCTAATTTATGTATTTATTTACTTTAGTAGGGACAGGGTCTCACCAAATTGCTCAGGCTGATCCCAAACTCCTGGCTTCAAATGATCCTCCTGCCTCAGCCTTCCAAGGTGTTGGGGTTATAGGCGTGAACCACAGTGCCTGGCCTAGATGATAGCTTTAAATATGTCTTATAATTCTTTTTTTGCTTTTATGTGACCTCAGCATATTTCTAAAAATAGTAAATTGCAGCACTTTGTCCTGTTAGGGTTCATAGCAATAGTAATTTTAAGGATGAGTGCAGAAGCTTACTCCTTAATCCTAGCACTTTGGTAGGCCAAGATGGGAGGATCCCTTGAGGCCTGGAGTTCAAGACCAGCCTGGGCAACATAGTGAGACCCAGTCTCTACGAAACATTTAAAAATTAGACAAGCATGGTGGCGTGCACCTGTAGTCTCAGCTACTTTGAAGGCTAAGATGGGAGGATTGCTTGAGCCTGAGAGGGAGAGGTTGCAGTGAGCTGACCACACCACTGCACTCCAGCCTGGGCAACAGAGTGAGACCCTGTCAGAAAAAGGGAAAAAAAAGTGCTTTTAAGTGTGCTCACTATTTATACGTTATTGAGAATTCCGCATTTGGCCAATGAACATTACTGAAGACAGCATCCCTATGCGTTGAGCTAAAGGGGGCCACTAAGCTTCGTTGAATATAAATGTAAACACAGACACGTTCATTTTGAATATCATGCACTTGAGTCCAAACAGTCCAAAACCCACAGTGCTTCTAGTATATTATTGTTCACACTGCAGGCTGCTTGTAGGATGTACTTGCCCATTTGACAATCACACAAAAATGGTTCATTTCTTCAGTTATAGTGGTCCAGATGCTGCAGTCCTGCCAGCAAGAAACTGCCCTTCTTCTTAATTGCTACCATAACATTTTTGCTGAGTCATCTCAAAGGATGTCAGTGCCTGTTCTTTAAAGTGAGCACATGTCAATGTGTGAATGGCGAGGGAGATTGAGAACACTGGAGCCGGCATCATGAGCTTACCAAGTTCATTGACCACCGAGTGGGAGGTCAGCCTGACAGAGAGATTACAATATTGCATTATATTTTTAATAGTGCTTATTTTATGGGATTAATTTTTAAAAGCATGCCTACTTTGGCAGATGCCCTGTGATAGGTCCTTGTATCTGCTAAGCACTTAGAATTCTTGGCTGGATTCTCAAATTCCTTTATTATTTAAGGCAGCTCAGGACTAGGCAGGGACAGGAGTGCTTTGCAAACATGAAACGCGATGGGAATGCTGAGTAATCACTTGTCTTCTACCCCTCCTCTCCTAGTCCCTCTTAACCTTAGAAAAATAAACAGAATGAAAACACCAGCCGTCCGGCTGGGCAGAACTGAAGGGTGACACTGGCACTGTGTTATGGCCCCGGGATTCCTGTCTTCCAGCTTCCTGCCTGAGCTGACTTTGGGGCGCTCCCTCTGCACCCTACCCCACCCTGCCCTTAAGATGTCTGCATACCAGATCTGTGTGTGTTTTTCCAGCGTGGACATGAATCCACCCAGACAGGAAAAATGTTTTTCTCCCCACAGCCCATGACAGAATACTGTTTTTTGATTCTCCTTTTTCTGTTTCCTGCTTTGTGGTTGGATGAAAAATTTCAAAGCGTGATGGCTCCTTGAAGGCAAAGCCTGCTTCTCCCTCATCTGCAGATACTGTGCCTCCCTAGCTCCTGGTATACACAGGTGCTCAGCAACAATCTATTGAATGATGATGATAAAACAGGAGACCATGGCAAGCTGGTGTAGAGTAAGGGGGTCAAGGGTCACCTCCACAAAACCTTGGACATTACAAGGCAAAGGCGCTGTTCCTTCTCTATGAGGGAAACACTGAGGGTGCCGGTGTTTTTCTGTCCTCTGCAATTATAGGAGGATTTAGTCATTGCTTAAGTTTTTGTTTTTATTTTATTTATCTTTTTTTTAGAGACAGGGTCTTGCCGTCTCCCAGGCTGGAATGCAGTGGCATAATCATAGCTCACTGTAGCCTTGACCTCTTGGGCTCAATGGATGCTCCTGTTTCAGCCTCTTGAGTAGCTGAGACTACTGGTGCATGCCACC